AACACTTGTTTGCCAGCCACCAAATAAAAAAAACAACAACTAATGGAAGAAGAGGAATGAAATAATGGCAAGGAGGAAAACTGATAAAAAGAAAACATGTACTAAATRAAATGTTTGACATGATTGACAGTGATGGGACTTTTAAAAAGCGGAACCAATTTTCGTCCAATTGACGAGCCACCAGTTGCAAAAACACAAACACAGATAAAAGCTTTTGTCAATATAAAAACGCACTCAGCACTTAAAGCTGTCCAGAAGACCATCCAGTCTCTCCTCAACGTGTCACGTGGAAACTTGAAATCAACATTGTGTTTCCTTTAATAGCCTTCAGTTTGTTTTGAATGATACAAAGTCTATTGGAACAAATGGGAGTCCACTTTTATTCATTTTATAACCAAATAAAACACAAAGGATATGYACAGCTTAAAATACAACAGAAAGTGTCAGCTATATGTAAGTCTTAGACACTGACAAAGGATAAGGAACACGTCTGACATTTAAAAACAGCATCCTTCAGCAGCTTCAAGAAAATTCTCTATAAATCTGTATCCTAAATGTCACCCAGTTCTTCTGCTGGAAGATGTTCTAACTGACTCATCTGGCACTCCATCAGCTTTCTTTGCTGATGTTGACTTTGTTGCTAAAGCAGCAATGTTCGACAACTGTTSTATATTGTCTCAACATTTTGGAGACAAAGCTAGCATCATTTACCTTCCCTGAACAAGGACGTGTCCTGGTACGAAGACATTTATGAGTGTTGCTCAAATRCAATGAAAACTCRYCTAAGATTATAATTTTGATCACAAAAACCTTAAATAGCACTATACAGTATATACACTGATAGTTGTTAYTGCCAGAAACAATCAGAACTCACTGTACAAAATGCTCYTTTTTATTTATTCTCATTGTGGAACAATACTGAAGACACAAACTAGGCAAAATGTATATTAAAACACAGAAAATGCKCTTTAAAAAAGCATGTTTACCAAAGGTTAGCTTAGGTTAAGAGTATGTCATGGTCAAATGGACCACAGATGTACAGTAACTTTGACTTTTTTTTTACATCAATGAAAGTAATTTTTCAATAAATGTCAACTGTATTCTGTCTAATTCATCATGTTTATGAGAGATTAAGGAAACGGAAATAGATTTGTGTGAAGTTTTCCCACGAAAACAGAGGAAGTGGGCATTATAATCAAATTTAATGCACTTAGTGGGACCAGTATTCATTTTCTTTAAGAGCATAATGATCCAAGACACTGAAAAGCCAATGCAAGGAGAGTTTAACTGAAAACAGGGCAAAAAGAGGAGCCAGATGATGTAGCTTTAACAAACACCAGACTTAAACCCAACTGACTGACAGAACTGAAAATAAAAAAGAGAAGTCCAACAAATGGTCGACATGTCAACATTATCTATGTAGACTGCCGGAAAACCATTTATATTTAATTACTCCAGTGAAGCTAAAAGCAAAGAATAAAGCAAACTGTAGAATTCATTGTAAAACAAAAACAACAACAAAAAAAAAAAAAAAAACATATGCAGTTGATTATATGTTTCTGATCTTTTCTTTAGGTGTATATTTGCTCACATAAAAAAACATAGTTTGATAGCCTGTCAACTGTGCAGTATGCCTCATTCGACTACAGCTGAACTATTTAGTTAGTATTCAGTGGTTAAAATCTATGAAAATCACTAATTAAGCCTAATTGGTTGAGCATGTTGGCTCATTCCCTGCTGTTTAATTGCAGTAAAGTTATTTTACCTGCTAACAATGGCTGTGAGAAGAATGTTTCTTCAGGCTGAAGCTCTGGCTTGTCTGGTGAGTTCGTTGAATAACACGGCAGAAATTAAACCAAGTCTGGTCCTAATAACAGATTTTCTCCCCAGATCAGATCAGATCAGAAGTGAAAATAACTTAAAATGAAAAATGTTTAATATTGTGTTAGTTATTTACAAATTCTCCATTTCACGAGTTTCAAAATGATAATTTGTTGAAATTTGACCAGACAAGGTATTTTGTTTATTTTTAACTCATTTTTAATGATCTGAAGTGACATCAGGAGTTTTAGCTGTGTATTTTAAAAAAAGGGGGGGCTTTCCAAGCTTCAAATTTGGGCTGCACAATATATCGAAAATTTATCTTCAGTAAATCAGTAAAAATGTGCTATTTTAGTTACTGTGATCTCTAGATGTGTCTTTATGAACTCTGTTAATCTCTATGACAAAAAAAAGTATTTTTGTGTTTTTTTGCTTTGCAGCCGGTGCTCATTCAGACTCATTTTGCAGCACGGGTCACATATTTTCTGTCACTGCACTGTGGCTTCTAGAAATTTAGACAATTATAGTTTATTTAAAGCTCATTTAAAGAAATTGTGCTCAGTTGTGTCAACACAGAGTCAAGTTATTTGGCCGTCTGCAGCCACCTGTCACTTCTGTCTGCTGCCATTTGTCACTGTCTTGTTTCCAGTTCTCTAACTGATTTTTTTAAGGGTGTCTGGTATGAATTATAACTTCATAAACTTTCTGCTTAGCTTTTTAAATTCAGTGTGCTTATATTAACTTATTTTACTTTCAGAAGCTGTAATAATTCAAGTCTTTGTTTTTATATATTGTTTGTAACGTTATTTTAATGAAAATTTGTCTTTGTAGTTATTTTTAACAATATGAACTGTGCCCATCTACTAAACTAATAAAGTTGATGTTAAATAAATCAGGCGAGCCAGAAGACGGGAGCAGCATGTGAATATGTTGGCTGGAAAGAGAAATGACTTATTTGCTGGGAGAACAGGAGCATTGGGAATAATAGAAAGGACATAAATTTGACATAAAGCAAGCCAGGCTTTGAAGATGATGACTGGAACATGTTGCATCCAGTACGCCCCCTTTAGAAATTTATAGTCTCCCACTTTAAAAAAGTTCTGTTGAAACATTTAAACCAGGTCTGTCATTAGTTTATTTGCTGAATACATCAGCTGTCATAAGGTAACTTTTATCTGGTGTCCCCGATGCTGTGTTCCAGCCGAATGTCAGGCACACCCTCGTGTCTTGGTATGCCTCCGTCAACAGTGACTGGGCTGTGGCGGATTGCTGTGGTCTGTGTATGAGCCATGTACAGTCAGAGGGCASTCTTCCTGTAATGCCTTTTTGCTAAAGATAATGTGTTCTGCATCTCCACTTAAGCCTGTAGGAGGAATTTGAGCCTGCCCTGCTCTGCTGGAAATCAAAACAGAGTACTTAGAGGGACATTATCCACACACACACAAAGCTCTACGCCCAAAACAAGAGAAAATAGGTGGCAGTAATGCCATCGGCACACCTTGCAGAAAAGTGGAGAATCCAAATATGTAGCGTTTCTAGGAAACTGAAGCTCTTTTCACTGGATTCTCGTGATAAAGTCAGTGTCTTGGTCACACAGTGCTTTCATACACAGTGGAAAACTGGCTTCTTTGTAATCTAAACACACAGTTTAGAGTAAACACAGCACTATTGTGTGTTTGTGTAAGTGGCTACACGAGGGAAGAGGGCTCAAATGTACTTGTTTTAACACAGGCAAGATCAGCTTTTAAATGTCAAAACCTTAAACTAAAACCTGTGGGCATTAAAGTGAATGAAAGCTTATAAAGTTTTCAGAGCTATACAACTTTTTTTATATACAAACAAGTAACAAAAAAAAACTTTAGGCAAAACTTACCATTGTTGGATGAATCCTTGCTGTCGGACACCTTTCTCAGCGCTGACATGATGGCATCAGAAGGAACACGGGGACTCTCTACATATTTGGGCTTCCTGACTGGACCTGCCAGCAACAAAATTAAAAAAACACACACACACAAAAGGACGAGTGAGATAGAGCGTCCGACAGACTCGCAAAACAAGAAAGGATGAGGTAGACTGAGAGAGTTCTCACAGAATTAATACATTCCAGATGGGACGAGAGATGAGACTCAGTGGTGTCTTCGTTAGGCAGGCTTGGCTGCACCTCGGAGCTCAAACAAAACTCACACACACTGAAAGCTCTCTCTACGCCGACAGCAGCTCAGGTCTGCCTGACAGCCCTGAATCCTGTCTGCATGGCAGGAGACTTCCAGTAAAACAGTGCTCGCTGGCTGTGGGAATGTAAACTACAGCAGGAAACCATAACAATTAGCCTCTTAGTGAACTAAAAACGAGCGCTCAGACACACACAAACGCACTGTTGGAAATGCAAAAGAACTCATTTACTGACAGTGTGCGTAGATGTTCATCTACCTACTCGCTGCCTCGTAAAAGCATGTCCTATTTCTGCAAAAACCGCTACATCATGTGGATAGATTAAGGTCTAGGTGTACTGATGCGAGTCAGATGATGCATGTGGGACAGTTTAATGTGCTCCAAGAAATGCCCTTATGTTTAGTAAGGACTTGTCTTTGTGCAGCTGCTTTGTTCCCTCCGCTTACACTGTGCCAGTGTTAGAAAATCCTTTATTGTTCATCCATGACGTAGCTACTTCTGCTAAATATCTGCATTTAAGYGTGGAAAAGTGGTCCCTGTTGTCTGTGATAAAAGACCATTATAATAAACTCTACAGGGATTAAAAATAATGTAAATCTATGGATTGGTAGAAAAAAAAAGCCATTCTTAAAAGCCACATAATTGTTTGTAGAGCGAGATCCAAGAAGCACACTAGTCTAAATATTAAACCATGAAACACAAACCATTGCCCTGGAAACTAGCTGTTTGCCTTTTAGGTTCTTTACTTAGAGCCAACATTTCCCCGTGGAAAATATAAATTCCACAGTCCAAACACAAACATTAGGAAGCAGAAAATAACCTAGAAACAGGAGATGCCTGTATGATTTAGACCCTTAAAAAGAGAATGCTTTCCACTGCTCCAGTCTTGAACTCCTGTAACCAACCCTCCTTTTTTCCTCCAGAGTCTTGTTATCATTCTGTATATGAAACCTCAATTACAAGTTACAGCACGGAAGGGTGAAAGGAGGCGATCATTCCCCATTATCACATTTGTTAACCAGCCACTCTAATTTCAAAGAAAAATTTTCTGAATCAGAATGAAGGTGAACTCTTAAACCAGCCCTGCTTGATGCACAGTGCCATCTATGGATATGTGAGCTGAAATGCATAGAGAGGAACAGCTACAGTATTTGCACTTAAACTCCTCTTCAAATGTCAAAGCCTAAATCTGAATATACATGTCTGTCAGAAAAGTGCAAAAGAAAGAAGGCTTAAGGTGCAAGAACGGGGAAAAAAGAGGACAACGTGGGGAACTGCAGATTCTTTGGTTTGTAGATGGATGCACAAAAGAACAAAAAGCATCTCCTCCAGTAAAGCCTGTTATTTGACAAACAAAGACAAAGTGAGTCCTTTTGATAGTCAGGCACAAACTGTTATCCAGGAGTCACATGGCTCCAATTAAAGTGGGACTACAGAGAGAGTGGGCTGTTTGTGAGACACTTGGTTCAGGTAAATATCCTGTGCAAAACTTGTCTGGTATGTTCTGCTGCCTGTTTTTTAATTAAATCAACATGAGGCATAGTTGCAATAATCTAAACCATATGCTTAAGTTCATATCCAGTTTAGGTCAACTGAAAATAAGATTCACACGTTTAATGACAAACATGTGGCTGGCTATTAGAGGTGATTCTGGGCTAAAGCCTAATACAATTGGGGAGAAAGGTAAAAAGGTCTTCTGCCAGGACTTTGATAATCTAAGTGCCAGACAAGGCTCTGAGGACTTCCTACTTCATTCAAAATCTCATTTCAAAATTTAACATGGTGCCATTACCACTTTGCCCTTTTAGATGGAGGCACTGACGAATAAGCAATTGCAGCTCATAACAGGCATGGAAAGGTCACAGAAATGGAAGCATCAGACATATGACCCCTGAAGGACAGAAACTAGACCCATCCTTATTCAACACACTTAGGCTGCAAAACCTACACTGTAAATCTATTTATATGAACATAAATTAACAGATACACTTAAAGCACAGRACAACTAGCATAACCATAAATTTAAATATATATATATATATAAAAGAAACAATGGATGTATTTTACCCAAGGACAAAATTGAACTTGATCACATCCATATTTGCATATCCATGACATAAATTCATTCCTTGTTTAATGTCCGAGTTGTCTGAGCATATTTTACACAGAATGGTTTTATTTTGTTGTTCTTCAAAGACAAAAAAAAGGCTAATGAGATCAAGACAAAGCCGACACAGATTAAAAAAAAGTAGTAAAAAGCAGAATAAAGGAGCTTTGGGTCAGCAATACTAAAGGAAAACAACAAATAATAAAATACCAGCTGCAAACATTTGGCAGACACTACATCCCTGTTACTATGGTTGTATGGAAATGCTTGTTAAACAAACAGGATGAAAGGCAAGTAAACAGAGAGCAGTGAAGAAGATGGATTAAGGAGGAAAATAAAAAAGGGGGAAAGAATGTCTCTGGGGTAAAGCAGCAAGGTGTGCTTGTGACTGCAGAGGACTCAGATATTCAGAGTCAGGCATCCATAACCAGCAGGCGATCAGTCAACAGGCACATGCACACATGTGGATACATACCAAGCAGCTGAATACCAACCATCAACTTACAGTCCAGTCAAAACCCAAAGAAAGAGAGGTTTGTTCGTAAATAGGAAGTGATCGTGGCACTTTTCCAACATTCTTCAACATGGACTCTGACTTCTTCACATTTCAGCTCATCAATGAGGCATCAGTGACTCTTTGTGTTGCCAAAAAAGAATGAAAGCAGCCTCACAACAGTCATTCTGCTCAGAGATGTAAAGAGCTCGAGTCAAAAAGGGGGAAATTAAAATAATCAGGCAGAAACTGTAAGAAGAGACTGGTACTCTGAATACTGCAAGACAAATATGGAAACATGTGATTCGTGATGAATGTTCCTGGTGAAATACAAAATATTAGGAAAAGTATCAGCATCGCAAAAAGTAAAACAAATTTATGAAAACAGCTAGTTTATTAATAATTGGCTAGCCACAGGAACATCAGCAATGATGGTTTTCAGTACTGGTACCTTAGGCAAAAAAAAAAAAAAAAAAAGACTATTTGGTATGTCATTGTAGAGGGAGTTCCACGTGATAAAGAACCAGAGCTGGAGGTGAGTCAAGTGCACTGAAGTGGTGAACTGGATAGTAGTTTTCAGAGTGCACTCATCACAGGAACCTTTCAAAAGAGGCCTTGCAGCCTCACAAGGTCTTTTACAGCACAGCTCATAGAAAGGCATCAATATTCCCCCGAGGCTGCCTGGTTTCTGTCAAAACCCCTGAGCTGACTTCAGGGGAGCTCACCTCAAAGGCACTACAAGGGGCTTGGAGCAGAGTGTCTACCCTCAAGACTACGCTGAAAACTAAAATGTGCTCTTGTAGAAGAAAAAGCTTGTTTTTGATGTCATTTCAAGAAAATCCCAAAACAAATATCTGTCTGTTAAAAGAGGTGGTTTTGCTAAAGCAGACAATGTCCTTGAACATGTACATACTGCTGTTGACTGTTTTACTACACAAATAGCAAAAAATAATAAAATCCCACCACCACAGCAGTCTGGCTTCTTTTTTTTTTATGATCGTATGTTGCCATAAAATATTATGTGATGCTTTGCATACTGGCACAATCAGAATCAGTTTTGTATCGGCATCTATAACCCTTAAAAGTAACATGGAAAATCACTAAGAACAATCTCTAACAAAATTTGCATTTCCTGCAAAAATGCTGTATGAATTTTTATTGTGAAAGTTTTTTGCTGTAAGTTGCTCAAGTCAAGTCAAGCAAAAGTAGCTAAAATTAGCGAAACAAGTTAAAAGTAGCAGAAACAAGTTGAAATTTGGCAGACTGTGGAAGGAGAGAGAAAATAATTAGTAGAAAAACATGAAAATAAGAGCAAAAAAGTCATACTTTGATGTAAAATAGATAGAATAGCTGTAATTAACACAAAGCTTTTAAAATAGCTGAAAAAGCAGAAACTAACAAACAAGCGGAAACAGCATGTTTGCTGAATCAAGCAGTAAGAATTACCACAATAAGGTGAATTTGGCTGAAATAGCTCAAAAGTAGAGAAAAAGGCAGGTGGAATTACCAGAAATCAGCTGAAAGAAGCTCAAAATAATAATAATAATAATAATGATAATAATTAGCCGAAAGAAGCTAAACAAAGCACAAAACAGTTAAAATTAGAAGAATACCTGAAAGGAGCAGAATGATAGCTGAAAAAGCAGGGAGGAAAATTAAAGTAGCAAAAAAGAATCTAAAAAAAGCTGAAATCAGAACTAAGATGACTATAAAGGAACCAGAACAAACGGTAAAAATTAGAGTAAACATTTAAAAACAATTAAGGGTTTTAAGGAAGTTGAAGGTTGTTGAATAGCACAAATATTGTGTAATGAGTTTGACACAATAAAAAAAATCTTATAAATTTAGAGCCATTCACACAAAGTTGTGGCAAACACTTGAACAAGCTGTTAAGACTAGAAAAAAGTCTTCCTTTCAACTGGTTAAGTAGTGCAACACTGAAAACGGATGTCTTCAATGTCTGAGATGCTAAGTAACCTATTACAACCAGTGGAGGTCACTGTGGACATACCCATGAGACCTTTGAGGTGGAGCTTTAATTGACTTTTTTTAAACTCCTTTTATGATACTAACAGACAATTTAAGATAGAAGTTTGCATTTTTGCAATAATATTTGACCAATATAGTTTGTCCAAGCATGAAGGAAAAACAAAAGACAGATATATTCAGATGTGTGTATTAGACCCAGGGGGGGTCTTTTGGTGGTTTGTAAACAGACAGTAATGTGTAGGTGCTGTTCGACACATGTCAGGGGTGCTGTGTTTCATGGTTAAGCTCTGGGCTTAGCTGATCAAAGCCGCAGCACTCAACGCCACCAGATTCTGCGGCTCAGGCATCCGTCACACTCCTAATTAGCTCGATGTTTTCCTGTTGTCCTCTGAAGTTTTCATGAAAAGAACAGCCGCTAAATTGGAGCCTTCCCATACTGCAATAGATTATCCAATGTGTCAGGAAATGAATCCCAGCCGCAATTTTTTTTTTCTCGTAATTTGTGGAACCACTTCTGTTCAGAGACAATCGCCGTAAAGTGGGCGGGAGATCAAAAAGTGCAATAAAAAGGATGCAGCCGTAAGTCTTAAAAATGCTGATGGTTAAACTTGAGGAAATCTCTAAATTATAAAATAGCTAACAAAACTAACTTAAATCTTATGATTTTAAAACATTGACTTAGGTTAAACAAAATCTCCCTTCTTTAAAAGATTAATGTTTTTTTTTTTTTTACCAAAGTAATGGTTTTTAGGCCTATTTGGACTTGGAATTATTATGCCTGACCCAAATACCAACAGACAGTAAAATGCATCCTGAGAAATTGTGTGGTGACACATCAAGTAAGTATGTAAGTGGTCCTTCAATGTCACTCAGGATGACTTTGGATTCAAACTGCTAAACAAATGTACAGTATATAAACATCTCCATCTCCAGCAGGTATTCCTTTAGGCATTATGTCCTGACGCATCTCAGTAATCCAGATAGAAAAATCAAAAAGAAAAATATGCAAGTCCTCTGGACGGGTTCTTCTTTAATGGGGTTCTTTCTTTTATTAAAGAAGAACCTGTCCAGAGGACTTACCTATTTTTCTTTTTCACTTTAGGCACCATCATTCAGAAATGGGCCTGAAATGGCAATCTGCTGTATAAAACACCAAAGTTTCTTTCAAATAACATTCATAAACTGACATGTTCCCACAACACTAAAAAGCCAATCCTAAGAGACCTTCTTCCCACGTTGATGCCATGTCTGTAGTGACTGGAATGTGACGATGAAGTCCAGTGCTGACAGCCTGGCTCAGTAGCAGCGATAGGTATAAACTCGAGCTAGCAAGTATTTGAGAAGTGGGGGTGGGCTTTGGGGGAACTTGCAGTGCTCCACTCTAACGAAAGGCATTTCTGTCACTCTGCTGATCCCGTGATGCCCTGACTTTCCCCCGTTTGGCATGTGTGAATTACCAAAAAAGACCCTTTAACACAACCCTTTCAAGCCATGTCTGAGACACCTCCTTCTCAAATTGGTGTCATGTGTGAAATGTTGAGACAGACTGGTGGGTGAGGTCCATCCAGTGCTGTTGGAACCCTGAGCCTGTAATGGATGTAGTCACAGACCTGAGTTGGTGAGTATGTGTGAAGTAGGGTGAAGAATGCACAGTAATCCATGATGCCAGCTTCATGTGTACAGATCACAGATCTTTCAGGAACGTGGCCTATTTAATTAAATCATGTTTGAACAACAAAATATAGTTAAAAAAGGAGCGATCATAAAGTAAAATGAACTAAAAGCAAATAAAACTGGTTCACAAGAGTTTTTTTTATCAATAATCTGTAACTAATGTCTGCCAGTGTTCCTGCCTCTACTAATAATAGTTGTTTTGAAGGTGGGGGCTACTGTTATGAAATTTGTGTTATGACTGTCTTAAAATAATTCCGGCTAACACGTCAAACCAACCTAGGTCAGTCTTTTTTTTCATATAATCATCAGGATAAAATGAAACACATATTTRTTATAGTGCTATTCACGTACAATAAAGCAGGCTTGTATTGAATGATTTAAACCCCCTCCAAGGAAAAAAAACACGACATTAGAACCCATGCTGATTTCGTCACAGAGCTGAGATCTTTTCTGCAGCATGTGTTTAATAACTGGAAGTGTGAACTATCCCCCTCTGGGTTTTCACAGTCACCTGTGAGGACAGTGTAGAGAAGACGTCCCCTCCCCCAATATCCTGTCACTAGAAGCCCTCCACCCTATTTCATCGGTCCATTATTCTCTCCTTTCCATGCCTCATAGCACACAAAGAGGAATATGCCTTTAATGAGCATTCACCTTCTTCTGTCCCCAAGGCCCTTTTCACCTTCACCAACCTTGTCTCTTCTCTGAATCTCTCTCTCCTTACCTTTATGTCTGTATGAATTCATCAGCACTTTATTTAGCAGGTTGATTAGCCCGTGCCACTCCTGAGATAACCGAACAGGTTTCTCTTGAATTTATTAACTGTCTTTATTTACAAGTAAGCATTTTTCTCCAATTATGCATTTAATTTACTAAGAACATTTGCATAATGTTGTGCACATTATCACAATTTTAGATGTATGGGTTCAAAAATGCACATTTAATTATGTGATAAAAATCACAGATGGAGAGCATAAAGATTAGAGGACAAACATGACTGCAAATACAACTGTTTCATTCTCCAAAATGTAACTAAATACAAACACATTACCCTAAAATCTGAAAAATCTGGCATTAAACAGAGACCATAAACATGAACAGTTTGAATAAGGATGCTATCAACTTCCCATCAACCACTCTTTACACTAAACACATCAAAGCTTCAAACACTCTAAACAATAGCTTGATACCCCACAAATGTGTGCCACATGTGAGTCAGGGGGCCCACAATGATCACTTAAAGGGATTTCTCCCATCTTTGCCAAGCCTCCAGGAACAAAGATTCAGGTTGAAACAAGCCAAGTTACAAAAGGTATTCCTGGCTTTGAAGCTCTACACAGCTGGTGACAATATTTCCAACATTTTAGACGGAGGAAGTTCTGAAGGATTTGGACGCAGTGTAAACACACGCCTATTACCAGCCGCTGGAGCATAAACAGTGCAGCTAAAGAGACCTCTTCTTAGATACAAGCTGATCAAAGACAGGGATTAGGAGACGAAAGCAATCAAAATGAGCTCATGTTCTAACTGGTGCAATCAATAGTGTGCAAGCTGTCAAACTATTGGAATTCAGTTTTGTAAAGTTGTGACTTATTTTTCCAAATGGGACTATTAGTCAAAAACTCTTTACATGTTTTAGAGAGTCTTGGCGGGGGGTGGGGTGGGGGTGGGAGGGTGGTATGTATTTTCCAGGAGCATAGTTCAATTCTACACCACAATCAAGTAACTATGTCACCATTAGTTGTTATAAAAATGCTGCATATATCAAAAATAATTTTGAGTTTGCATCATATCTAAATAGGGTTGGGTACCGAAACTCTGTTCCAATATGGCACCGGGGCGAACATCCACGGTAGTACACAAACCGAAACACAACTCTAACTTCGGTGCTTTATTTCGGTGGCTCAAAGAAAGCTGTTAATTTGTGCCCTCTGGTGTTCACTGTTAACAGTGACAGCCTCGGCACACAACCTCCATGGATGCGGTTCGACTCGGCCTCGGCCCAATGCGTGTCCAAGCGCGCAGAAGCCCCACTCCGGTGGTTCGGGTAGAAGCAAGTACAGCACGTTTATGATTTTAACGTCAACAGAATTCTGCCCGTGGATTAACTCTTGGATTAACTGACAGCAAATTTCCTCCTGGAGAGAGCTGCTTTTGTTTAGGAATACGAGCGCGCGGTGCAATATGACGACATGGTGAAAGCAGTGATAAAACTGCCTTTTTGAAAAAGGCAGAACTTCTAAACACTTCCTGGAGAGAGGTGACGGAGACGAAGCTGAGCAGATCACAGGAGGTTTCCAATAAACTGACCGCCCACAGTTACGCAAGCACTTAGCTAAACAGCACCGTGAAAAAAAATAAATAAATAAATAAATAAATAAATAAATAAATAAATAAAGGTGAAGTCTGAACGTCTGAACGGTAAGACCACAATGGCTTTTTTTAATTTAATTTAATTTTTGTTTTTAACACAACAGCTAACACAACAGCTGAAGCCACTGCGGACGGTCCGCACATTATCACACCCATTGCATAGAGACACACGGACACTGAGCAGAAACGACCCGAACCAAAGTGAATCGAGTAGAACCGAGTTCATGGAGAGGGGCTAAACAGGTGCTGTTGCAGTTAACAGTTATATATTATATATTATAGTCGAGATGTCAAAAGCAAAACGGTCCAAAGTGTGGTGTCACTTTACAAAATAAGATGCAGAAACTTCCACCTACAACAAACGCTTTAAGAATATTTGGTGCAAAGACAAATTATTAATGGTTTTAAGTTAATATGTTGGTCAATTTCAAGTTTGACTTTGTCTCAGAAATAGTCATTGCTTCATAAACCTCTGTGTGAGTGTGTGTGTTTTATTTATTTATTTTTAAAGTACCGATTTAAATACCGTTTAGGAACCGGTACCGTTTTCAAAGAATCGATTTAGCACTGGTATCGAAATAAACACTTTCAATACCCAACCCTATATCTAAACGCCTTGAAATTGGCCTCTGTCTCTTTAAGAACCTCCTACTGTTTCTGACACTACCACTTCAACACATTTTCAACAATGCTTCGGGAGAGGGGTGCTCTGTGGGGCGGGAGCATGGCTGCAGACTGAGCTCCAGGGAGGAGCTTTGTACTAATAGGCGGTGCTTTGTACCAGTAGCTCCACATGGCTATCACATGAAAGTCAAGGATTTTCCAAACATGCATGAATGAGTCAAAACAACACTCTGGGTTAGTTTTTGATGAGGGAATGACATTACAAAGCTCAAAAAAGTTGATTTTGCATAACTGGTTTTAAAAGTACCTGGTGATCTCTTGGGGCGTAAAGGCATCATGTAGGACTGGCGAGGCAGAAGAGGTGAMGAAGGAAGAGACATAGACACTCCTTTGGTAAAACCTAGTCTGAAAACATCATCTTGTGTGTTAGGGTGACCGCCAGCAGGGCCCTGGTGCTGGGGATTTCCCTCATTTGGGAATCTTCTTTGAGCACTATGGCTGTGAGCATCACCTGTTGAAAAGAATAACAGTTACCTCATGACAAAATGAAAAGTAATGAGCAAGTAAGGAGGCCTGGCAAAACCATTTCTTTTTACCACTGGGTTGACACTGAATGCTTATAATGGAAAACTTTAGAGGAAACCTAACCAATCTTCTTTGATATAGAGGAAAAGTTGGTTTTGACTGAATGGCATTTATCTCTAATTACAGGCATACTCTAGCTGTCAAGAAAAAACATAACTTAAGCAGCCAACTTTACAGGGGGAAAAAAGCTTTCAAAATTCAGCACAATTCCCTGTTTAAATTGTTAATTTTCATTCACCAATATTAAACAGTCATATCTTTATAGTTTTACATACTTACAATGTGTCAGATTAGCAGGTGAGACAAGTTTGCAATAAAATCAGGCTGTAAAGTAGGTGTAAAACTGGATTTTATTTAACACAGGTGTAGAATTTCATTGATATACAGTATTATGAAATGACAGAAATTTTTTTTGGTAATTTCAGGCACAGACAAGTTCCCAGGATTCTTGAATTCTTTATTCAGCCTCGGGGAGCTGTAAGCCACCTCCAACCCTTAAGAAGCAAGCTTCTGTGCACAAGAAGCAGACAAGACAAAGTACTCATGATGTTTGATACAATCAGCATGACTAAAACAAATACAGCTCCTCTGGGTAACGGATTGTAGAAAAACATTATCAAAAATTGAAAAGCCAGAATAACTGCACTGAAAACCAAGTGAACTCTCTGTTTATTTTTATTCTTCAGCTGTAAAACTCCATTTCATTGCTAAGAGCCACTGTCTCTCATAGGGCTGCAACAACGAATCGATAAAATTGATAAAAATCAATTATTAAAATCATTGGCAACAAATTTCATTATCGATTTGTTGTGTCGCGCGATTTATACGTGCCTCGCCATGTCGCAGAGCAGTTTACGTCATCCACAGAGCATTGTCAATTATGGCTGACCTAAATAAATTTTGGGAAGAAAAAAACTCTACCTGTGAAGATCCACCCTCTCTGACTCTCGAGTGAAAAGTAGAGACTTCAAACTTTAAACACGTTTTTAAATTGTGTTGTTAGGCCAAGTAGATCTGAAGTTATGATAGAAAGCATATGATACATTTAAATTTTTTAAAAGATGGTCTGATTTGATGCGAGCCACATCGCAAGGAGGAGACGTGTGCAACCGTTTGTTTCGTCCTCCTCTCGGGCCAAATGTATAAAAACCCTCCAGATTTTTCTGAGTAAGGCTCAAAGTTATTTGTTGAGCAACAAAAAGGTTCAAGATGAATGAAAAATAGATAAGTAAGTGGAACTCCTGGTCTGACTCAGCAGAGGAGAGGGGAGGGGGGGCTGCTTCAGAACAGTTTACTGGGTGAACAATTAGACAGAACCAACAACAAAAAAGCAAAAATTAAAGAATTAGAGAAAAATATATAAATGTTAAATGTAAATAAATTCTAATTATAATAAATTAATAATAGTTTTACATCTAAAAATCGTATTTTATTATTTTAATCTATTTTCCTCATTCAGCAACCTTTAAATTTCTGTTATGTTTCATGTATGAGAAATACACATTTTTTTCAGTCAGTACTGGAAAAATAAATAGTTAAAATATTTATGATGTGCTTCTGTTTTAATTCAGGAGATTCTAAAAAAAATCCTTCATTTTATGGAAAGACCCTCTTGATTCAAGAGAAAACTCCAGTTTTTAAGAAAATGGCTGCTTATCAATTAATTGTTAGTCATTCTATAAGATAAATCAACTTCAGATTAATTAATTAATCAATAACTTGCATCCCTAATTTATACAGGAATGAAAATTTGTATCTACTCATATTCATGTAATTAAGCGTTTTAATGATTTGGCTGATTAATCGAAAAAATAATAGACCGAATAATCTATTATTAAAATAATCGTTAGTTGCAGCCCTAGTCTCTCAGGACCTGTATGTATGGCCTTGAGTCTTATCAGAACAAAAACAATGGCCCTCTCTCGAGCCCTACATCTGTTTACCCTAAAGTCATCCTCTCCTTTAAAGTCTTCCRTACTCTAACAAAGCCCAAACACCCTGATCACACCCTTGGGGGCGGTACGTTTTACGTCAACACTGTTACATATGTCAACAATTCTTGTTTACACTGCGGAGGAACGCATTGAGTAGAGACTCGCTGATTCTCTCACTGTTTAAAGAAAAGGACTGCAATTGATCACAAAACAGAAAATATAAAGACTATCTAAAATTCAGTTAATTAGTAACAAAATTTCCTTCAGTATAGAAAGGTTTAGTGAATGTGTGAAACCAGCATTGTGGGTGCTAACTGAACCTAGCCATTTCACGTTCTGCTGTCAACCACAGAGCATTTTGAAAATCTGTTTCACCATCATCATCTACAAACAACAAAAAAGTGTTTCAGCTTAAGTCAAACAAAGACTACAACAGAAAGGCAGATGCGGCAGTGGAAGGTGTCAAAGCATTTAGTCCATTAGTCATTGACTAGTCGACTAATCATCCATCATTTGTGTTTTCAGTGTATACGCCTCATTGGCACTGCCAGAACTGATGAAGTTTTCATCATTCRCTTTAAGCATAATGAAATGGCATCAGGCGTGTCAGAGAGAGACCACTCTTACTGGATAAGCATAACAAATGCATGGGAGAGGTGGTGACTGTGAAAACCGAAAACAAACATATCTAGRCAAAATCCTCTTGTGCTGGCATCTCCAAAACACGCAAGATTTTCCAAGAACAGAAATTTAGGGGAGAGCGGCACTGCTCGGCATCACTAAAAAATAAAACTAAGGTGGTAAACACTCATACTTAACGTAACTTCTTTTTGCTGCCATTGTGCAACTTTTATTAGACACTAGCTGTGTTTCCATTGCAAATGTGCGCAAAACTTTGTCGATACTCTGTTAATGTCGAAAAACAGTTTCTATTAAAGTCACGCGTGTATACGCTTGTTCTCGTGATAAGTCATTACAAACATGGCGGCAATGGATGTAAACACATAGCATATTGCTATCGCGACACTAGAGCTCATCATCAGAGGAGACGTTGGCGTATTTTATCGAGGCTTTCCATCGACAAGCCCCTAGTTGGGAGGAGCTATGTATGCTGTTTTTTTGGGAAATTATAGTCGGTGAGTTTAATACTTTCTTACTACTTCTGTGATATTACTACTACTTCTACTTCCTGTTATATTCTTCGTTGTTGTCTTTTTTACCAGTAGAAACAACCATTTGTTGATCACGTGACTCCCGTGATGCGAAAAAAGTGTTTCCATTGCAGTTTTGCAAAAAACACCAATTTTGATACGGCCGAAATACCACCTCATACCACCTCATCCTAGCGCAAAAACATTTTGTCGAAAAATGTAATTTTTTTCGAAATTGACATTTTTCCATTGAGCAAATTTATTTTTGAAATTCTAATTTGYGCATTTTCATGGTCAATTTAAACGCAGCTAATGATCTGTTATCATTTTACACTGTGGTCTGCATCCACACACTCAGTCCTAAGGCTGACTAAACTTAAAATCACACAATTTCCACATGAATTCAAACTTATCTGAAAATATGTTGCATAGTAGTTCATAAAGTCACCAGATGCAATGCCTTGGAATCATCACCTGAGCGGATTTGTCTTTCGGCGGCGTTAATGCGATGTGGAACAGCACACCTAAAATTTCTGCTCCAGGCAATTCTTTCAGAATACAACCTTAATTAAAAACCTGGAAYGCACCAATTTAAAATTAGAAGTGAATAAACAGCTGTAAGTTTTAAATACTTAAAAAAACATTAAATGTTATTCATGAAATCTCATGAGCACAACAGAAGACTGTTAGAAAAATGTACAAAAAGACATTTAATAGACTTTGTGATGAACAAAGATGACTGTTAAGGGGGGTGGGGTGGGGAAGAGTGAAACAAACCTGGACCTGGGAAAAGCAAGTCTGTTAACTGTGTATTTAAACCCAGGGTCGTGAGCCTGTTAGTATTCCCCATGCCTCTATGACACATGAGGACATCAAGTTAGTAAAACAAACAACACAGTTCATGACTATTAAATAAAGATACTACGTAATTYCCTAAATACTCAGTGTGACTGTTCCTGGTTGGTATTTTAAGAACTTTAAAAGGGGGAAGAAAAAACAGGAGGGATGTTTAATTTCCATCCAGTCTTTACTCATAAAATTCTCAGCGTTTACAAGAGTGAGAGAGAGAGGTAGTCACAAACTCTTGAATTCATAACAGTCTACTGTCACACATGATACGACTAAACCCAGAGCTTTCAGGTAAGTTTACAACCATTTAAGACATTCACATCTCATGCACTCTCTAATATCAATGAAAACAAAAKATTTGAAGATGTTACTTTAGACATACCCCCCACTTTAAAGCAGTAATTTCATACACAAAGTGTGCAGAAACCTGCGRAAAATAAAATAAGACACCCATCTACGATGTCATTTTTTTCTGCCATGCTAGATTAGATATCTTTACGCTTTTCTCACTCCAGTCAAAATACAGTATTTTGCTGCAATTGCAAAAAATGTTTCCACAACCTCTCTACGTATCAAAGAAGTTATAAAAAAAAAGTCTTCACTGCTATAAGTTTGATCACAGGATGGAAAAAAATTGGGCTTCACCAGGACCCACTGCCACAAAGCCATGATGCTCATTCATAGCATATTAATCTATTTTGCAGGATCATCACTCGTCACTGCCACAAATAAAAACGGACAAATTATTAACCTAAAAAAATACACGTATTACCTAACTAGTGAAGCAGACAAGACGTCAGCAGCTTTAAGAAGATTGCAACTGCAGATGTGGTGAAGCCACAGTAATGATAATTAACTTTGGTTACTTTGTTTTTTTCTCTTTTTTACTGGCTCCTGTCTGCTGCTCTGGGTTTGTAGAAAGCGCAGAAAGCAAAAGAGGCAAACTACTATTAGCACCCTTATTATTTGTCAAGAATAAAAGGGTGCTGCTG